TCTTCCTGCTTTCCCTTTCGCCTCCCTGCATTGTGCCTACATATGCAAATTAACCGCCATCTTTGTTGGCAGTTAACTGCCATCTTAGTTGGCAGTTAATTTGCATATCACCCTGATTAGCCAATGAAAAGGGTAGTGGTCATACGCCAATTACCATATTTCTCTTTTATTAGTGTAGATAATTAATATATGTTCATATAGAAAGACTGAAAATAATTGGCATGGCTGTGAACAAGCATTTGTTAAAATTTTATTCAAAATTGTTTTGCTGCCCCTTCTTACTCTCGGAAGTCAGTTTATTATCTTTAAGGACACATCTAGTGGAGGCAATCACATTGCCATCCTGTATGCCAAGATGTACCACTCTATTTAGAAACTTCTTGCACAGGAGGACAGAGTCTTTAAAAGGGTTAGTGCTTATCCTATAAAGACCAATATGAACAGTAATAAATGATTGAAAAGCATTTTCTCTTTTCAGTATCTTTCCAGTAGGTTTCTTCTGGTAACATATGAAATAATATCAGCTTCATAATGTTGGAATATGAAAGGCCTAGATTTGGATCATGGTTCTGCCAGTCAGTGGTTTTGTAAACTTGAGCAAGTGATTTCATCTATCTGAGAATCAGTTTTTTTCTCTTTAGTAAAATGGGTTTAATGATCTCTTTTTTACATACCTCACAGGGTTGCTTTAAAATTCAAATGAAATCCAGTCTGTCAACCATAATGTGATGTTTTAGTGTTAGGTGCTTTTAACTAGTCTGAAGTGTGGGTGCAAAGCTACTGAGATTCAACAGTATTTGGATATAGTCAAATCTCCTTACTTTATTCACCTTACTAGGAGGGGAAATGTATTCCAGGGTTTTCTTTCTCTGTCTTTAGTGCCCTGGAATCTAAACAAGAGTGCACAGATCCCAAATTGCATTTATAGCAACCAAGAAGATAGCTATAAATGTGAAGTGCTATGAGAAGTGCTATCCAGACAGTAGTCCAGGACCTGTCCTCTCTCCTTCCCATTCAAGAAATCTGGAGCTTACCTATTACATGTCTTTGGTGTTTCTCTAGGAGGAAGCTAGGAGGCTTAGCAAGGCATTTTCCTCTTGAATCTCTCTCCTGAAATTGTTCTCTCCTTAGGTTTTAAAGATCGAAGGATACAGAAGGGTTTTTGTGGAGAATAATGCTAGAACATGGGCCCACTGAGTGGACCTTTACCAGCTTGATTATGGCAGACTTAATACAAATATATTTTTTATCTAAGGGGAAGCAAGGGTAAGCATGGAAACCTCTCTCATTCAAATACTCATGGGTATATATGCATATGCAAAAATTTTCCTTTTAAAAGAAAAGATTGTTACAGCAGACTCTAACAGATGGCATATAGAGAGCTAATTTCCTATAGCCTCACATTGCTAATGTCGTTGCTGTTTTACTTAACATACCAATCTACTAATCTTACATATGTCTTGCATGCTTTGCTTAAAGCAGGGGTGGTGAACCTTTTTTTAATATATATTTTTTTATTGATTAAGATATTACATATGTGTCTTTATCACCACGTTACCCCCTATCCCCCCGCTCATGCCCTCACCCCCCTGTTTTCCCTGTCCATTGGTTAGGCCTATATGCTTGCATATAAGTCCTTTGGTTCATCTCTCCCACTTACCCCCACCCTTGTTTAAATGCCTATGGAAATTGTGCCTTGATTTTCTTTTTCCTCTTTCTCTCTAACTTTCCTTTCCTTTCTTCTTTCA